TGGATGCATTTGGTTAGGGTTTTGTTGGTGGATGCATTTGGTTAGGGTTTAGGGTTTAGGGTTTTAGGGTTTAGGGTTTAGGGTTTAGGGTTTTAGGGTTTAGGGTTTAGGGTTTGCAATGGAGAGGCGCGCGTGAATTTTTCACGGGGGGCTCTCCAAACTCCCTTAACGCCCCCCTCACCATTCACACGCGCGCCTGCACAGCTAATGGACCCACCCCAACCGCCCAAATTAAAAACTTTTAGGGTTTAGGGTTTTTTTGGAAACCCTTTGTCGGGCCGCGTCATCCGCCCACATAGCCCGCACGAAAATCCTTGGGAAAAACGTGGGGGGTATTCTCCGGCGCTTGACCGCGCCGAGAATGGGCGTTGCCAATGTGAATTGAAATGTGCTAAATTGTTTCGTTTGCACGGTTTTTGCTCTCGGTTTTGACCAAAGCTGTACTACGAACAGGTTTTTACAGGAAAGTAGTGCTACGGGAAGCCAGCCGTGGGGCTCACCCTGGGATTTGCCGTGAACCGGGCCGTTCGCCATTGAAATTGTATTAAAATTAAACAAAATCCGGTGCCCGTCCAAAATCGGGATTCGACCGGCAATCCTGTGCTACGAGCGGGCTTTAAAGGTAATCCTGTGCCACGAGGGCTCTCAAAAGCAATCCTGTGATACGAAAGGGCTTTTAAAGGCAATCCTGTGCTACGAGAGGGCTTTTAAAGGCAATCCTGTGCTACGAGGAGGCTTTTAAAGGCAATCCTGTGCTGCGAGAGGGCTGTTGAAGCCCCTCTGTGCTACGGGCAGCCGGCCGTGGAGCCCACCCCAGGATTTGCCGCGAACCGGGCCGTTCGCCATTGAAATTGTATTAAACATGAAACAAAATCCGGCGCCCGTCCAATCGGGTGGCCAAGCCACGAGGGCCCCAGAAGAGGAATCTGTGCTACGAGAGCCTTTAGAAAAGGATTCTGCGCGATGGCGCCACGAGGGAGATTGGATCACTCCAGTAATCTGCCAAGGCAAGACCAAATGACTCCAGTA